ACGAAATGTGTGCTTATAATGAGGGATTTATATGATGTGATTGTACAGGGGGTGACTATAGAGGGGGACGACTGTACTTGATTTGAAAAGTTTGTGAGCCTATTAGGAAGCTTTTACTCTTTATTAATCTCTGTTACATTTCCTTGTACTGCCAATTTGGAAGGAGGATGAGTTGGAAGGAGATAGCTTTGAATATATGTATCCTTATTGTTTGTGGTATTTTAAGTGTTTTGGGAACTATCTAACTACTCAACAAGATTATCAAAAGAGGAGGGATTTTAAAATATAGCATGTTGTGATTTTTTTTAAAAGGACAAATTTGAATGGGTTGTTAAAAACAATTGTTATCCAAATCTCAAAATTTTAGAATAGGTGATAATTTGTATTTAGAAAATAATATTTTGTCATGCTATTTAAAATGTAATCTGGTTTTTTTTTTATCATTTATATAAAAATTGTATTTTTTTTTTTTTTGTTAATTTATGAGAATTCTTAATAATTATTTTGAAGGCCAATAATAATACGATTTTTTTCTTTAGAATTATAATATAATATTTAATTATAATAGATCATTTATAACGATTTTCATTTCCAAAATCTAACTGCGGACGCAATTATATTACACACACGTTTAAAAATAACCTTATTTTTCTTGCCGGCGATAAAATACTTACTTGAAAAAAGCCTAGTGCAACAACGACTTTAAGTAATGAAAGAGTTGTTTTATAATATTTGGATCATATCCTTGACAAAGAAAAAGAGGAATTAGCTGTTCCATAAGAATTTTCGGCAGGTTGTTGATTCCTTTTTTAATCAAAATTCGTTGAACTATATTAATTATGAGGTACAAAATAATTTTGGTGAATATTTCAATCTCTGTTTAGAGATAATAATATACATGATATACACTCAAACAAATTAAATACCCTTTCAATTTGCCAAAGTACTAATTGCACAGCCCTTTCATGAAAGTTGTTCATCAAATTCAATAACTCTTTTTTTTTTTTCATAAATGTATTTAAGGTAAAAAAAAAAATATTCCAATTTCCAATACGGTGGGTGATCTTATATATTTGCACCTTCTTCTTTAATTGAATTGATTATTGACTCTACAGTGTTTTATGGTAAACCTTGCTTGTTATTGATTAAAACACTCATCGTGAAGTGACTGTTGTATTATTCCTATTAAGTTTTGTGTATTTTAATGCATATTATGAAAGTTTAAAGGTTTTATGAAAAAACGAAAAAATATTTATATTGGATCTTTAATCGGGTAATTATTTTTTGGCGCAGCGATTTTATAATAAAAAACTATTCATTCCAATAATTAATATAGAAGATCTTTTCGAAAAAAATAAATATGATTTTTTTAAAAAAAATTTACACCAATGGTCATAACTCGAGAGACTGAATTACAGCCCGTGTTTCACTTTACTGGAAACCGAGGAGATTTTTACCGCGATAAATGTCACCCATAAGTTTCACATAGCGTGTAAAATAGAAATTGCCAAAATAATAATAATAATAATACTAATAATTCATTTATTAAACAAGATTTTCTATATTCTACAATTATATTCACATAATGTCTTCAAAACTTAATATCATTGAATGAAGGTAATTTGGTAATATCCAAACTATTAAATTATTTTAAATCATCTAGATATAATTAATTAATTAAATTAATAATTATTTTGGAGTCATCCTTAAGAAAGGATGAGCTTCAGTATTAAACACATAATTATCCAATGAAATTACATCAGGTGTACTAAACAATAAATACAAATATTTTAAAGTTTCTGCCAAAAAGAAACTAATGAGAAGAAAAGGAAAATTGGTTACCAACAAAATTAAATTAGTAAAATGCATAATAATAAATGAACTCGATTTACCTTTCCATATTATTATTTTGCAGGTGGTTTTCATCCATTACATTACGTAACCCGGAATAAGCTATTGGTGTCTTACAGCATTTTTCAATTGACTTGTGAATTAAAGTAAATTATAATTAATTGTAAATAAGTATAATCATTAAAATCATTTGATATAAACGGAATCTTGATCATTACCTGCCATATCTTCCACCCTTTTTCTTGATATTCCTTATCTCCAGTAATTCGGTACAAAATAAATAAACTTTCAATAGTTTCTAATAAAAGAAATTTCAAAATGAAATAAAATTATTTTCGTATGAAGTGTTTTGAAATTCACATCTTCCTCTAAATTAAATATCATACCTGGTCTGAGTAAATAACTTCCGTCTATTCTATAAAGTCCATCAGGTAAATTACCAGCATGTTGCGACCAGATTGAATTTGCGGTCACATTTTTGATTAAAAAATAAATAGATTCCGGACCAATTCCCGTCGTTGTTGAATTATAAGCCCAATAACATGATTCCGCCAATCTTATTGCTACTTCTAAATCTTTTGGTCGATGTAAAATTTTTGATCCAATCGCCAACATTCCTGGTGCAAAACAGGACTTTAATTTCAAAAACAAAAAAAGATTAATTATAAAGGTATACGAAAAAATTTTCAATAGAAATATGGGGATATAATATTACCAAATGTTCCATTCTAGAAATAAATGAACCAAATTGTCCAGTAGAGTATTCTCCAAGAAACAACAAATCAGGACGATCTTTAACCTGACCTTCCTTTACCAAATATTTATGCATGCTGTCAATCGATTCTTCGTCTAAAAAGTAAAAAGTAAAAATAAAATAAAAAATATTATAATCTTTCCTAAAGTAAATTCTAATATAACAAAAAGTATCCACTTACACATTCTCCTATATTGATCAATTGCACCTCCAATATACACGTATTGTTTGATCAAGTACTAAAGAAATTAAATAATAAAAAATCTTCAAATCGCTTCTAATACATGGATATTAAGATTTGGTTAAGTGAATACCTCATAAAAACTGTCACCCATGGATCCGAAACTTATTTGACCTACGTAACGAAAATATAGGAAATATTTCATATCTATATGCGCGTGATATACAAAGAGAATTCAAACTTACGACTAGTAAATTTTCCAGATTCTATATCAATGTAGAGAGGGTAAAGACCGGGAATTTCTTTCTTTGCTTTATCAAGAACATCTGTTACCTTTTGCACCTATGAATAAAAATTTATTAACATAATATTAAAGGATATTCTCCCCATTTATTTATCTCTGTCCTTTAAACATACTGCGTAGAAGAAGGAACTATTTCCGGTTAATTGAGCCAACTTCATATATTCTAATTGTAAAGTTCCAACTTGAGATAATATCCCACCACGATAAACTGATCTATGTCTTCCCCTCGTGATATTCCAAGTGTTATAAGGTAATCCAGAAGGAGAATCAAAAGCGTATAACATAGCTTCACCTAGTTCTATTGCCTTTTCTAATAAAATTTCTTTACCAGATAATTCGTACGCACTTAATAATCCGCCTAAATACCTTATAGTGGTTTCGAATACACTAATGTCCATACTTGAATTAGCAAAATTAACATTAGCTAAATAATCCGTAGCATTCATAAATTCAGCTTTAAGGTTCATTATCCACATGGTGTCTAATGCATCAACCATCGTGGCTCCCCATCCATTAAAATTATTCCTTGAAGTATTAGTTATAGGTAAAATTTCATCAGATCCCCAACCGTATTTGACGTATCCATTCCATGCGTGTAAAAATCCTTTTTTGATCGATTCTTTGCGTTCTTCTCGTAGTTTTTTTTCTGCTTTTGTTTCAATAAATTTTTTTTTTAAACTCGAATAGGGGAAATTGTATTGAATTTTTGTCAAGGATGAAACGTTATATAATATTACATCATCCCCTAATTTGTTATATTCCAAAGGGGGAGATATAGGAGGCTGATTAATTGGTGGTTGTGAAGGAGGAGAAGGAGGAGAAGGAGGGGAAGGAGGAGTACTAGAATCACTCCACCATTGTTTTTCTAATAGATCCGGATATTGGTCTACAATTACAAATATTTGATAAGCTAGTAACAATACAATGATTATAAGAAATAACGATATTCTTAATCGAGTATTTAATTTCCATGAAATTTTATTATCATTTGAAGAGTTCATAATCTTTTCTTTAAAAAAAAAAAAAAAATACAAAAAAAAGTACAATTTTTTTTTTAAAAAGTATGGCAAATAAAATAAAAAAAAATCACTATATACTTTTAATTTTTTTTTTTTTTTGTTTTAAACAAAGAGAGAGTAGAATTTTAAAATTAACATTTTAATATCAGAAAATTAGTATGAATATTTTTGGTTCTCAAAACCCGATGTTGTCTCACCACGCTTACCATAAAAGGCTAGAAATACATGTATAAATTAAACGCATACAACATAAACTTGAAATTTATTTACTGTGGCAAATGCGAGTTCGGGTATAAAATTTTAGGGGTCCTTTGACAAAACATTAATAAAGTTTGATCAACATTATTTGAGTGCAAATGTTCGAAGACCGATAAAGTTAACATGATTACCGGAAAATTTAACTTCTCGAATTTACTGTTCTTGAAACTTTCTGCGCCATAAAATGGCATTTTAGAATGCACATCACGATTATCAACGTACACAGAATTTGTTTCATCTTTAATCATCATCATGATAGTTAGATAGTCATTACGAGAATAAGATGATCTTTTGAACACAAACAGATCCCTTAATTACTTATTTAAAGAGGTCGAAAAAGGCTTTCAAGGATTGAAATTTAAATCAAATGGAACAAGAAAATAAATTTGTTTCAATGATCAAGGATCAAAGGATAACCATTATACCCGAATTCCAATTACAATCAGGAATCGTATTACATGATGTATCCGTAGCGTATAAAACTTGGGGAAAATTAAATCAGAAAAAAAATAATGTGATGTTAATTTGTAATGTTTATACCGGTAGTGCCGATTTTACGGAAGTTTGGTCTCCGTTAATGATTGGAAAGGGTAAAGCGTTTGATACCACAATTTTTTTTGTGTTTTGCGCAAACGTAATCGGATCAGCCTATGGAACCTCATCTCCCTTAACAATGAACCCTGATACCGGAAAATTATATGGTCCGACATTTCCACTTACAACTCCGAGAGATGATGTTAGGTAATACAATTTTATTGTTGTTATTTTCCTAAAGTTATTAATTCATTGTTGTTTGTCGTGTAAGGTTACATAAATTAGTTTTGGATTCATTGGGAGTTAAACAGGTAGCAATTTGTATTGGAGGTTCTCTAGGTGGCATGCAAGTACTTGAATGGGCTCTTGTCGGTAAACAAAAGGACGGAGATGAAGAATTTGTCAAAGCGATTGTACCTATTGCTACTTGTGCCAAATTATCTGCCTGGGCCATTGCTTGGAATGAGGTTCAAAGACAAATTATCTACAATGATCCTTTATATTGTATGTGAATTAAATGACAGAATTATATTATAAATAACCTATAAAGTATTACTAAAATAAAAAAACAAATTTCTTTTTTAATATAAACAAGGTGATGGTTATTATGACCCAGAGAATGTAAACTATATATTTATATTTTTATTTTATAGAAAATGAATATAGATTCTAAAAAAATGTCTAAATTTTTTAGCCTCCAAGTAGAGGACTGTTTATTGCTAGAATGAACGCACTTATTACTTATAGATCAAGAAATGCTTTTGAATCGAATTTTGGCAGAGATGTGAAAGAACATGATAATTATGACGCAAATGAACCACCATTTTATCAAGTACAATCGTACCTTCATTATCAAAGTGACAAGTTTATTAAAAGATTTGATGCAAATTGCTATATAAGTTTAACACATAAAATGGATAATCATGATATATCTAAGGGGAGAGGTGGAGATGTTAACAACGTATTAAAATCAATCAATCAACCAGCTCTCATATTAGGTAAATTTCAATTTTTTTTTTATTTTTTTTTTTATTGATTATATTAACCTAAAAAAAATTTTAGGATTGAAGGAGGATGTATTATTTCCTATCTCTGAACAGTATAAACTTGCAGAAAATATACCGAATTCTGAAATCATCACTTTAGGTATCGAAGACGGTCATTGTGCATTTTTAAACGAAATTGATACTTTAAATAATCTTATTCTTGGATTTATTAAAAAACATCTTGGGGAAATTTATGATGCAAAAATTGAATCAGAATTTGATGAATAATCTAAAATTAGAGAATTAATGTATGTATTTTAGTTTTTAATGTATTTTTAGTTTTTAACATGTAAAAAATTAGTCAATGTCTTCATAATCTAATAAACACATTCAAGTCTTTTTTTTTGTGTGACGAATTTTCTTTGACATCGATTTGATTACCAAGTCAATTTATTATCACGTGCAATGTCTAATTATTAACAATTATTTTCCTTAAATAATTCTTTATGTTAAACTTTCGAGTTATTTTATCCTAAATAAAATTATAAACTTTTCAACTTTGAGGAGATTTTAATTGAGGCCCTAAAGGAATACTAAGATAAATTTATATCATTTGAACGAATCCAAATTTCCTGAATGCCATTATCGATTCACGACATCCTGAACGAACTTTTTCCTGAAAATTTTCGTCCCCCCTAATGCATGATTTCTTACTGAATTCGGGAAAAATGTTCTTTTGGGAATTTAATTTGGAAAAATGGCATTCCATTCGTGAAATTTGGATTCAGGGAAAATGGCAAGTCCATATCGAGTTAATCATCTCTTTATAAAGTGATTGATAATTATGGATCGACTTATGTCGAAAATATGGTTTATACAAATTTCAAAGGAACTCACGTGAAACAATCAGGGTGCATGCATAATTAGATTACTTGTCGAACTGCCAAGATAAATTCGCTGTGACACATTCTTAAAATTTGCAGAAATTGATTAAAATAGGATAGATATTAAGAACTGTTTACACATGCAATAAGAAGTTTGTCTTCTTATTTGTAAATCATGTGACTAACATTTACCCATATCACAAAAATAATTTCACGCCGGCATAACGGCATTATGAATTAACAATGTGACGAATAATGACAAATGTTATTACTAGAAAAGTGGTATGTTTCTTTATAATTTAATAAATTATAAAATAATAAAATATTTTATCTTTTTTATAAAATTTTAATTAATTAAAATTTTACTTTGTTTAGCAAATTTTGTAAAAATTTATTGCAATTATAATAAACATCAAAAGATATCTAATTTTAAAAACTGATTTTTTTATTTTTAAGTGAATTTTTTTTTATTCAAAATAATTAAATTATTAAATAAAAGTAATAGACAATTTTACTATATACTATATATGTTTATAATCTAAATATTTTTTAAGATATCATTTTTTTTAATAAAAATAAAAATATTTATTATTATTAATATTAATATTTAATTTACTTACATATAATTTTTTTCAAAAAGGTATCTACTAAATATATAAAGGAGATTAATATTTAATTTAAAGATACTTTTAGTCTAAAACATATATTTAGGAAAGTTTCGGGTTTTGAGAATTTTCAACTAAAATCAAAACTAAAATGCAATAAAAATAAATTTTGTTTCAGAACCTGATTTTTACATTTAATAAATTAATTTTTTTGTAAAATATAGTTTTTAATATCATTCCATTAAATCAGATATTTTTTTTTTATATAAATTCACTACAATATGATATGATAACTTTTTTTTAAAAATTAATCCAAATTTTTAAATACAAATCATACAAAGCTTATAATAATTATTAATTAAAAATGAAATAAATAATGATCTTATTATTAGATTTATTTTTATAGAATTTACAACTAACTAACTAACTGGGGAACGGACCGTTGTTAAGTCCGGGTCACCCAGGTTGAGCAACTGACGCCGACAGGTTGATTTTTAATTGGTCTCAGGTCTTAAAATAACGATCGAAATTTAATCGGGGCAATAAACCGACAGACTTCTTGAGTTATACTGCGTAGAATTATATAGTTCCAAGCGTAGCGAGGACTTAAACTAGTCTTAATTTAAATGAACTTTTATTATTTTTGAATTGCATAAATCTTGAAAAAGTATAATTAATAATTTACCTTATTTTATTTTAGATAAAAAATAAAATAAAAAAAAAATAGCTTATACCTATATGATTGATCAAGATTAATTAAAGCTTTATTTTGCTCTTTTATATCTTAATTGGATAATAAAATTAAATTTATTATAAATAATGTTTGTTTATTTACCGCAGTAAATTATTTTCGAAACCGCAGTTAATATTTGTCATATTTTTATATTTGGTCTTTGCAATTTTGTTTTTGGATGGTTTATAAACCTATTATTATAAGATATATGCATTTTTAACGAAGCCTGATTGAAATTGTCATATAGAAAATATTTATAATTAGCATATCGCAAGATCAAAAATGATTTTATGGATTTAATGCCTTAGATTTATCTGAATTAGGAGTTAAAATAGTTACACGAAAAGTTGACCAATACGATCGATTATATCCAAAGGCAGTGTTATATATGTGATACATCCAGTCTAAGAAATTGTCCAAGATTACATTTAATAAATCATATTTCCGTCAATAAAAATACTAGGCATGAACATAACTACCTACCATTTGATTCTACATATCAAGACGATTCTAACTATAATTCATTAAATACGGTGTACCTAATTTCATATCACGGCATTAAAAAAAAAAAAAATTTGGTTCTAATTCCGAATATGAAAATCTTTTTCTTAAAAATGATTTTCAGTATCACCATCATCATATGATATTTAAAACCATCTCCCAGATTATCTAAAGCATTGCCAAATAAGAAATTTATTTTTGTTAATAAATAAAAGAAAAATTCGTTCATACAATTAAATATCCTTGCCAAATTTTACAATTATTATAAAAGCTAACTTTGGAATTAATTAATGACGCAAATCATTTCTTTATTTGATATTTATACATAGATCTTACTTCTACTATTAAGATCATTAACTATACTATAAAGGTAAAATTTATTGTTTAGAATTCCTGGAGAAATGGCATTATTTGATAGACACACTGCAGAGTTGACAGCTGTCAACCGGTAGAGTAAACTCCAAATCGGAATCTTTAACCCTTTGTCTCTAAACTATTTAGTAGTAATTCTCCATGTTTAAATGTAGAGAAAGGAAAGAATCAACCTTATTAACCTTATTCTCCCATATCATAAGTTCTATAAATGGATCCGGTTTCCCTGACTATAAATGCATTTAACTATAAAGGCATATAACCGAATTCCTGGAAAGATCATGTTATTTCCTGATGCACATACTGCAGAATTGACAGCTGTCACCGCTGTCACCGGCTTATACTTGAAGCATTAACTCATGTGAGATCGTATTTGAGTAAACTAAAAATAGAATATTCGCCGTATCTCTAAATCATTCAGTTTCAATTCTCCATGTTCTTCTCCATGTTTATCAAACATACCGCCCGAAATGTGTAGTATATTGTATTTATTATAAATATAATCAAAAGAAATAAATATATTTTTCTTTTTTCACGAATATAAAATTTTTATTTCCAAAATGTCTTCAAACGAATCATTAGATGTTTTCACATCTACAATTAACAATGGTGAAATGTTTATAACACACCATCCAATAAATGTCCGAAGAAGACAGAATAGACAACGTAGAAGACAACGAATATATCGGAATCATATTCGATTTATTGCATCCATCAATCTTATTAATAATGAAGAAAACACTGATGGTACTGATGGTACATTGAATCGAATTCTAACCCTTCCTATACAAAGTACAAATGACCAATTGATAAATGAATTTTTCAACGGAACTTCGTTTTCTTAAAAAGAAAAAAAAATCTTTATTTTTATATATATATTATTACCAACTTATTTCGTATTATTCGTTATACCAATCTCTTTTCAAGAACAATTTCTTAAAACCAGTGGGATATCTTCCTATTTAAGCTCCTGGTTAATTAATTTATTTATTCATAATTTAATTTTAAATAGGACTTTATTTCATCAAAATAATCTGTTCCGTTATTTGTTGTTTGATTAGATAATTATTTAATATTATAAACAAAAAAATTTTTTTTCTTGTTACGCATTGTAATTATTTGTTAGAAATCAACCAAGGTGGATATGTAATTATTTTTAATTTTTCAACGTTCTTTATAGAATGAAATATATCTATCTAACTTTCCAGTTCATGTCGCAATTCAAAGTTTCTGTTGGATTTAGACATTTTATAAAGAATAACATATAGTTATACTGTATTGTTATACACTAGTTCAAATTAATGATTGCGGTGATATTTGATAAAATGAAAAATTTTTTAACATTAACAATTTTCGGCACACAAAGTTGTAAGAATTACAACGGTAGAATTATTTATCCGATTCATTATTCGCGCTAATTACATGTAAGCTGACCGCATTTTCGGATCAAATGTACAAAAAAAACCTATCAGGTTAATTGGTTAATTAAGGCAACACAGCTTTTCGAACTGGTTATTTGATATAGGTAAAAAATAGGTTTCGAAACCGTTGACAGTCTGGGGCACAAGTGTAACGGAAAGAACCAATCCGCATCGACTTGAGCTGCACAAACGGGGAGAAGTGTATAGTCCTTCGCTCCGGACAAATAAAATTAAATATTGATTAAGGAGTGCCGAGACCTTCAAAATATTATATATATATATAGTATAATTCAAAAAAAAAGTTTTTTTTTTAAAATAAAAAAAATATCCATTTTATTCAACATTGTGACCAAAGGTATTTCGTTATTTCCCATCCGTTTTCACAAATTTCTTTAATAGATCAAATGATAACCTTTCTTAAGCATTAACTATTACAAAGGATAAACGAACTTAAATTTTAAAACTTAAAACTTAATAAAAAAAAAATATCTAATATTTTGATTAATACAATGGGAGTTTTTTTTTAAATTTCTAATGTTTCTTATATTGTTAAACTTAATGCTTGACGTTCGTGACGACTTGCATTCAATAAGGTAGCTTACCACCAAATATCTAATAAAACCGTTGATGCTTATCATCCTTAATTCTTAAGTTCATATATTCATAAATAGGTAAATATAGCTTAATTGAAAGGTAGATCGAAAGTTTTAATTTTTTTGAGACGAAGGAGTTAATAACATAAATCTTAAGAAATTAACAAAGATTTCTCATAAGATAATCATATAATTTAGGATTGTTAATGTACAATTATAGTATTTAAACATATATTATAGGAATAATAAAGGGTTTTAATTTGAGTAGGTGTGTGCCAAATTTTTAAGCACTGTAAAACGAGAATCCGTTGAAAAAGTCATTTATAATTTGATCATTTGTGTTTTGTCTAGAAAGTTGTGCGATTCTATTCAATGTCTCTTCGTTATTTATATGTTTTGGAGGTTTAATTGGTTTAATTGGATCTTGTTTTCTTCGAAGATTGTTTGATCGTCTTCTCCTATTAATACGGGTTGTAAGAGATCCACCAGCAGTATTTTTCAAAGACATTTTTAATATATTATGATTTATAGAGATTGGAAATGTGGAAAGTCTAAGTATTTCCTCGCTATATATACGTGATAGAGAAAGTTGTTCGCTACATTTATAAATCGACAGATTATCAAATAGAACAAAAAAGGGTTCATTTATCCATTTCCGAACCCACTTTGGGTAAACTAGGTGATCAGTTCTAATCAAATTAAATATACGGGCATTTAATTGTAATTCGATTAAAGGACAATAAAGCTTAAAGAAATTCTAACACATAATCGGGCATGTTATTGGTTTGTGAATTACGACTATTATGATATAAAGATTTTGGTAATTTTGAAATATTGCATGATCAATTCCAATTACAAAGAAAATCCTTTTTTTTTTTTGTCTAGCAAGGAGAAAATTAAAGTTAATTGAGATTATTTGATGCCGTGCCATGCAAACGTTATACAAAATCGTCGATCATTGCTGATTGTTAATTGCAGCTTCGGATGATAGCGAAGGCGAAGAAAAAGAAACTCCGAAAAAAGTATAATATTTTTATATATTAAATAATTAAATAATTACTTATTTGTAGACCTGCCAAAACTACTTTATGCAATTTGAACGGGAAAATGCAAGATGTTTATTGTGACTAATTAGGTTTTATTATTTTCTTCTTTTTTTTCCGTTTCATCGTTATTCATTAGAAAAAAATCATAAATATATGCATGAAAACGATACTTCAATTAGAGAATCAAACATGTATTTAAAGTGAACAAAGACTTTTTTTTTAATTTGTAGACGTATAAAAATATATGTATATATTTTTTTTTGGACGTTATTTAATAATTTAGATTTGCTAATTAAAGATAAAGTTATTAATGAATGAAGTTTATTTATAGTATTAAATAATGGTATTTTTTATAACAAATAAAAATTATGGAGCCGCAAATGACAATGATAACACAATATATTTAATTGCATTAAATAATTATTTAAGTTACAATATTACAATGCTTACAATGTTACAATGTTACATACAATGTTACAATGCAGAATACAATCACAGTTGTAGATATTTTTGGTATTATTACGATAAAAAGACGTTTAAAATTAGTAATATATGAGGCGGGTTAACGCCACATATTCATATGATAATAGAAAGTAAATACAAAGAATCAATTTTATTTCGACTCGTAAAAAAAATTTATTTTTTTAAAAAATGTGGTTCTGCGCCACGGAAACGTAAGTCCGCAAAAGATTTGAATATATTAAAAATTTAATACTTAAACATAAAAATGCGATATGATGTTTTGGGGCTAATTGAATTCATTTATTCTTTTTCCTGTTCTACTTTCCTTTCATTTTCATCTTTCTAAGAAGAAATGCATCAATGAAACAAAGACCAGATTAACTACCTTTCTTGTGTATATTGAATATCGATCAATCACAAGGACGTAAAAAAAAAATCTAAGTGTTGTAATTTATAGAGATAAATATTTATTAAAGGCGTTTTCGTAAATATACGATTTCCAACTCTGGCATTTAATTAGTTTTTAAACCGGTTAAGGATCGGTTCCGACATCTAAGATCATACATGTCAAATTAAATAGACAAAGAACATTTGTTTTGTTATACAAGTAGGTCGATCATTAACTGTATTGTCGACGATTTGATTACATAATATTTCAGTATCTCTTGAAACATAAAATCCTGTTATATCATTAAAACGTGGAAAATTAAGTCATTTTGCGTTGATTGAAACGGGCTAACCATCTTGGCTTTTATAATGCTTAAAAAAATATACAATGTAAGATGACATATACAAACTTTTTTAAGCTATTAATCAATCAATTTATATATTACTTACATGAGAGTACGATTATATAGTACTGTATATAGACATAAAGATAATCTTTTCTAAAGCAAAAATTTTTTTTTATGTGTAAATAGCCCGCCCCATTCCGTGTTACATAACTCGAATAAAAAATATATATTTCTTTTTATTCAAATCCATTTACAATTATTAAGTTTTCCCTTGCATAATTTTGTGTATTATAACATCATCGCTCGATGAATGTATGCATATTATAATGTTTCCAATCGATTAACCTCTATAGGAATGATTGTTTGGTTCCTTTAAATCTAAAAACACTCATTGCTGAATGAACATGTTTTAGGTTGGATTATTAAATAAACAATTTATCGTGATGTAATAAGTAAACAAAGAAAATCGGTGTTTATGATTTTTTTTTGAAAAAAAAAAGGAATTCCTTGTATTATCTAAATTTATTTAAATTATTATTTCTTAGTGTAATCGCTGGTTTTTATACACGGTAAAAGTTTCAAAAGTCCGCGGCCTTCTGACAGGCGCCTTGGATGCGAACGTTGAATGCAGCGTGTTACGATAAATAAATTATTCATTTTGTCGTCAACAGTGTATGAAAAACATAGAAACAAATGGAAATCGTATTCCATTTCAAATAACCTACCATTCCAAGAAATCACTATCCCATCAAAAAAATCTCGGGTTTTGTGACTTATATAATAACCTGTCACCACCATGTTTCATTTTTTTACTATTTAAGCGGGGAACTTAGCTTTTTTTGGGTGTGAAATCCTATTTGTCACTCGCAATATTTTATCACAGACTTCTTGATTAGGTAAGTTAAACTTGTGTGATTAGTGTTAGTATAAGTTAAGGTTGAAATTAGCCACATTATATATATATAATCACATGATCTGAACGGTCAATATCACGTGATCTTGGCAAAGATCGCGTAACATTATGAATCTTTATTTTTAAATAAAACATAAGATAAAAAAATTTCTTTATAAAATATTTATACTCATGTCTGAAGATTGCTACTGAAAATATCGGCCAAGACAAAAGAGTCGCTTTTGATTCATTATTCTATATCAAATTATTTTTTTTTATAGAGTTCTGTTCTAAAATTTTTTAATGTTCGATCGATATTAATGCGGTTAAGTAGGGGAAAGTTGATTTTTGTAATGGGTGAGACTTATTACATGTTCAATTAATTACTCTGCATCGATTTTTAGACAATTTTCTATTTAAACTTTTTATTATTATTTTTATTATAAAAAAAATTCTTTTATTAAAACACATGAAATAGGAATATAATTAATTTTTTCAATATACAAGTATTTGCTTGCTCTTAGCCAGATGCAGGTTAACCTACAACAGTTTCTCCTGAACACCGCGTAGAGGTGGCAAGCTTCGTTCAGGTTAAAAAAATTGAGTCACGAAGACTCATTTGAGGTGAAAATAAAGAAAATGCATACGAATATAATAAGGTTATAAAATAAATATAAAAATTTCACCTCAAAACATTATCGAAATACATAAATTCATTAAAATTAAAAGAAAATTCTAAACTACAAAATAACGGATGAAGTGGCCAAAGGGGGATTATTTTAAAATGAAAAAAAGGAAAGAGAAAACAGCCGACTTCATATAATAGATACGATACATCGTAGTATCGTAGTCATGCTTATCAAAAGCACCCTAGTGAAAGTTTGTCAAAGAGGAGAGTAAATTTTTTTTTTAATTTTTTTAATTTTCTTAATTTTTTTTTATTTTTTTTTTATATTTTTTTATATATTTTTTTTTTTTTTTTTGAAAAAGTAGACTTGTGCCAAGACGACAAAGAAGGAGAGGTGACCAGTTAAAAACGAAGGGGGAAAGGGTAAAAACCAT